GAAAGAGTGTCTTTACAGATGTTTCTGAAGTGATTTTTGTGGTTCTGATACTGTGAAATAATACGTTCATGCCCAAATAAAGGATTGTATACATATCAGGAATACGGTGTCTAATATTTAATGGTTAAATTTAGTAGGTTTGTAGATTTGTCATACAGATGTTCATGTGTTTTCCAGAGTTACTCTACTGGAGCTGCTCTTTGCCCAGCTCAGAGAGGAGGACTCGGAGGAGTGTGGCGTCCCTCCCAGCGTGGCTCGTTTCCTGGCCAGCTCCTTCCAGCAGGGCTGTGGAGCTGTTCTAACACTCGCTACTGGCTCTGCTTCCAGTGACGAGGTCAGACAGTACAGTAGTCAACCTCACTCAGACCTCAGAAACACAAAATGTTCAGCAGGCCTTCAGGATCTGCGGATCGTTTTCAGAGCTTCTTCTCAGTTTTAGGGTCCCATCTTTGTAGCTGCTTTTAATAGATAGTTGATTAAATTCAGCACTAAGCTTTCACCTTTAACATCTTCTCAATATTCATTCTTTCTTTATCTGACACCGGTTGGTTGCATTTCCCTGCAGGTCCTGCAGGAGGCGCTGACAGTGATCAGTCTGCTGGACGTGCTGTGTGAGATGACCTCAGACAACAAGCAGTTCATGTTCCTGCAGGACCATCCTGACCTCCTCATGACCACTGTTGGTAAGTGAAAAAACACACTCACACAAACACTCTGACTGGATGTGAAGCTCAACATTCCCGTCAGACAGGTAGAAAGTTAGGATCCCTGCACACGACCCTCCTCAGCGTTGGCAGGCAGTGAAAGCCACTGCAGAGTTCCGATGTAAATGAGCTTGAACTAAAGTGTTTAATTTGGTTCTGAATCATTCTAACCCCAAAACCCACAGCAAGTTTGAGAGACATGTTAACCTTTTAAAAATCGCCAAAATAACACCGTTTGTCAGAGCCAACAACTGTATAAAAACAGAAAGAATCATCAGATTTTCAATGATCCGTGAACTAATCGTCTGTGACGTACTGCTCTGTTGTGAAACTTCAACAAATCTAAGCTTAAATTTCTTTATCCTACGTGTCTCAGTTAAAAAATTGCCAAAAATATAACATTTAGAAATTCTGCGCTACTCAGTGCAGCAGTGAAGACTTTACCGCTGAACTGCAGGCTGTGTGCAGACAGGAGGCTAAGCATGGAAACAAATGAAACATGTCAGTAGTAGTAAAATATCCATAGCATGTAGAGTTACCATGTTGTTTTCCAACACTGGAATCATCTGTAGGCACTTAGACAAATGTTGTAAATGTTGATTCCAGGTTTTTTTGTTCAACTTTTTTCAAATAATCACAGAAATTCAACTTCACCCTTCATGATTTGTGATGATTTAACTGTGTCATACTGCACAGAGGAGGTATTTTAAGTTCAGTTTACTTCTCCATGACTATACTGTTTCCATAGAGGTGCAGGACTTTATATTGCAGTGAAAAATGAGCCCACAGTAAGTAAAAATTTGACAGGAGCAAAAACCGTGAGTTTAGAGGGTTTAAACAATGCCTCAAGGAAATGTATACGATCTTTAATGTCATAAATCAAATTCAAACTCAGTCATCATCTGAGTAGTTGTGTTCTTAAGCTTGGCGTGACTAAAAGTCTTTGTTCTGCTGCTGTTTTTCCTCTTACCGCGCTTTATGTTTTCTTTGCAGGGCTCCTGGAGCAGGTTCATGCCATCGGGAAAGCCAGCAAGAATATCTTCAGCGCCGCTCAGAACTTCTCTTCCTTCGGTGGGGATGTGGACTCGTCCTCTCATTCTCCTGTCATCAGCTTCAAGGCTCACCTCATCAGGCTCATAGGAAACCTCTGCCACGGCAACACCGACAACCAGAACAAGGTTTGGATTATGTTACGCTGCATTAGATGGATGAGTTCATGAAAGAAGAGATGAAAGTCTGAAATGTAACTACAGCAAAACGCGAGTATTTTACAACAAAATGCAAATGAATGGAAATCATACAGAAGAGTGAATTTGTATTTAGACAGCTTTCTGTTTTGTGTGTCTTTATGTTACAATCTATGGTGCAGATCAGTCAAAGTATGTTTAAAGTACTTCTGAGTTCTTTAGTTCTCTCCTGGATGAGAGGTGAAACATCAAGAACAAAACAAAGAAACCCAGTTGCTTTATACTGAAGCTCCTGACATGACTGAGAATGTACTCAGACATGTTCAAGGCAGGTTTCTCATTTCGTAAGCTGTAATGCTTTTGCTAAGAAGCCCAATTTTTAAGTAATGTGAACTGCAACTGTACATAAACAACTTGAGTAACTGATTAGTCACCTCACAGACGAATAATTTAGTCAATTTCTCACTTAACATCTTTTAAGCATTTGTTGCTTCTAATGATGTACAGATTTCCCTATGATTCACTAAATATGCAGATGGGTGACAAATTAAAGGAAAAACCGACACTGAGAGGATCTGGTGGCTCTGTTTTGTTGTGGGTGACATTTTTCTGGCATATTTTGGGTTTAGTTGTCTCATGAGAAGAAAGAGTCACTAAAAATCAATACCAAGATGTTCCGAGTGACGCGTTTATCCTACGATGGAAGATTTCCGTCCTGTTGGGAGTGGTCTCTTCAGGGATGGCGATGATTTCATCCACAGGGCACGAAGGGTCACTGAATGGTTTACAAAAATGATGTGAATCATATTTTATGGCCTTCACACTCAGCAGATCTCAACACCTTTAGGAGATCTTGTACAGACGTGTTAGTCAGCGCTCCTCACCATCATCATCAAAGCAACAAATGAGGGAATTATTTAGGAAGAATGGCCTTCATCCTTTGAGTAGAGTTCCAAAAACGTGGAAAATCAACATCAAGATTCATCTGAAGTTGTTCTGGCAGCATTTGGTGGAACAACACCTTTGCGAAGACACTGTTATGTTGTTTTTTCCTTTAATCTGTCACCCATCTGTAGCTCTGCCAGGAGTTTAAAAAAAAAAAAAGGAAAATCACAGAATCCCTAAAATTAGATTGTTGTTACTCGTTAATTTTCTTTATTTTCTTGTCTACCCCTTCACTAATCTCTCTCAAGATTTAGTGAATGCCCTTGATCCGTCTAACACAGCGGGGTTAAAGGTCAAGAGGCATTTGAGAGGTCTGGGAGGCCCGACTGAAAGACCTCGGCACCAAATTAGCATGTTTCAAGTGCAGGTTCTTGTACTAAGCTGTGATCTCTTGAGGACTGAGGAGTGCAAATGATGTCTAATGGAGCAGGAGGCCCGTGTGTTCTCTCAACACGATTTGCATTTTCACTTAAAAACATTCCCCCGCTCGCCCCGTTCTAGCGGTTTTTATCAGTTTCCCTCCATCGCCGTCTGTCAACATCTCAGCATTAACATGAAGCGCAGAGGGGTAATAAAGCAGATGGGGAGGAGTTTGCCTCTGCAGTATCTATGGCTCATTATGGACTCAGTTGTACTTAATAGAAACAGATTTGTGGAATTCTTGTGGGATGGCCACCCTCAGTTGGCCTCGCTGTAATATTTATGGATGCTGATCTGTGGTCTGTCAGTGGTCAGAAATCACCCCGTATCTGTTTTCACTAAGAACTCTTCCAGTAAACCAAATGTCGTTCTGTTCACCTTTGGGAGAGATTGTAACCCAAGATGTGCATGCAAAGTACTGAACTGCTCGTACCGTGCCGAAGCCGGAGTCCAGTCGCTCGTTATTCACCTCTTTATGGGTTTGGACATAATGTAAGCAACTTCGAGACAATCACTCTGAAAGTGGAAAACGCAGACCTGGGTGCTCGTACTAGTCAGCGACTGTGCTCCTTTGACAGTTTAAATGACATTTCCACTTTCTGCAACTCAGCGCTTCGTCTTGTTCCGTTGCTCCCAGCAGTATGTTTGGAGGGTAACCACAACGGCAACGTCAGGGCAACAGCAAGCGAGGACAATAATTAAGCCTATAGAATTGGACACATGATAGAGAGCAGATCACCCCGTTGTGGTGGTCTTAGACTAACTCACAACCACACTGCTGCCTTTGCATGGACGTGAGGCTCCGTTAGGGACATCTCCGTATTGTTCTTTTCTCTGCTCAACGTTAAAGTTCTTGAACCGCGATGACCTACTTGACAAGGTCTGTTTTTTTAAGTGTAACTGTCACCTCTGAGTAAATTTGTATTGACTTTGAATGTGATTACTACATAAACTAGACGACAGCAAAACCACACTTTTCATTTTGTTTATGGCAGTAATAAACAACTATCATGTAAAGTCAGTGATACTAATTGACTTCAGCTTTTGTCAAATTTAGTGACTATCCCCTCACGGTCTGCTGTTTGTGTGCTAAATACAAATCAGGTGTTCGTAAACAGCCCTGGAGCTGTAAATAGACTAAACCACAGCATTATTCCAGTGTGTCCTGTGCATGCTGAGTCTGGTAAAGGCTAACCAGCTAAATATGCTAAATAGATAAATATCAAGAATGTTTGTTCAGAATCACAGACTACAGCTTTAATATGTTGATCAGTCCATAGGAAGAAGAGACTTCAGGGTTGTGTTTTGAAAGCAAAACTTAACCCTATATGGCTTTTCCCCTGCAGATATTATGGGTTATAATAGTGGGATAACACAAGAAAATGCTGCTTTTTTTTTTATTCAGGAGTCCTAAAATGGAACAACAGTGTGGTCGTTGAGCAGCACGCACATAATACCAGAACTCTAAAACTCAAGCAGTTAAATAGAATTTAACCATTCTTACCTTTTCCCCCCATTTTAATAAGTCATGAAATCCATACAGGATGTCCTGAGTCATGCTGTAGTGTAATCAGAATACAAATGTAATAGACAGATTCTCACTGTGAAATGAGCTTTTATTGAGCAAAGAAAAACATGGAAAGTATAATTTCTTGTACTGATTTGTCATATTTGTAAGAAACTGAGATTAAATCCTCCACATCTTGCTGAACTTGTTTCCTCAGGTGAGAGAACTCGAAGGCATCCCGCTCATCCTGGACAACTGCAACATCGACAGCAACAATCCTTGTATCCTTTAACAACAAGTCAGTGACCTGGAGACTCAAACACATCTGTATTTACGTATGTATATTTCATATTTGTCCAAATCACTGTTCATATTTATGCCAAGAGATCATTTTAGTCATATTTTTCTGGCACTTTTAGGATTAAACTTGGCACGTTTGCGCAGGAATGTTGGTGGGTTTCGCAACCGGAAAATAAGTTCCGCGTCAAACTTTAATCGCTGCAGCGTGCGCAGGCTGGCAGGGCAAAGTGGTTGAAATTTGGACAATGTTACGTTCACCAACTTTTAATACGTGTTTGCTTGCCGATTGTCAACGGTGTGAAACGATGGGTTGCATTTGGTTTTAGTGTTCGTGCAGATTTTGGTTTTAAGGAGGTCTTTTTGATACACGACTAAACTTGACTACTAAACCTTCTAAACTACACTAAGGCAGTTACCAGTTCAATAGGCCTCATGACCCTGCTATAAATCGTATTTTTTGTGAACATTTCTGCATAAATTTGTGTTTTTCTTGCCACTGTATCAGAGCATTATGTGGTATTTATTCAGACCACAGTGGGACACTTTGGCATGTATTTCAAATATTTTCTCAGCTACTATTTATACACACAAGGAGGCAGAATATCATAAAAAATAACCTCTCACCTTTAAACTCTGACAGTTAGCAAATACGTTTCACAAAGACGTGATGTAATAAAAGACTGCTTTAATTACACGTCTACCTAACACGGTGACAGCTCACTATAGATGTGTGTACACGATAGGGAACGTACATATAATTTGCTTTTAATGCCCCTTTTCACCACAGTTTTGCAACCCTTGGGAACTCCAATTTCTGCTTTATTTGGTGCATAATAAACTGCAGGGCCCTGAGCTCGAACTCAGGAGTCATTCTCATCTCCACACCCTGCTGGGCGTCCTGCTACCAGTTGATATTAGCTCACTGGAGTCGGGGCATCGTGCCAGGCTGCCTTCTAACCCGGTCAGTAGTCTGAGCCGAGCCTTTGTCCCCACGCTGCCCACTCTGTCGACCTTCTCATGTTCTCAGTAGTAGTTTCTGTTCGGACTAAGATTGGCAAAGGAAAAAAATGTTTAGGTATTTATGTGGGAAACTCGAGAGGAGGTGAGGTGAGATGTTTTGTATCAGAAAACATACATAACAAGTCTGCGAAACTCGTTTGTTTGTTGGGTTTTCTGCGTACTCGGTGACCCAAAACGAATACCAGGCACTTATGAGTTTCACATCTTGTGTGGGACGTTGAAAATTAGAGCCCGACCGACCAAAAAAAGATGCTGGTAATTTAGAAATGGTGCCGTCATACAGTTTGTCCAGCAGATTGTTCCTTACAATACTCTCAGTACTGTCTGCAGCGCATGTAGCAGAGTATGTATCTCAGACAGTGGTAAGGAGTCAAGTGGTGTCACGATAAACTGCAAACTAGATTGTAAAATACATGGCTGGAAAGTTAATAAAAGATGACTCCATAATTTTCCCAGCTCTGTATATGTATGTACATTTAGAAGGGCTATTGGCTGGCGTATCAATAGCCGATTTTTTGTGACTCTCTTAAAATTGATATTGGTCCCAAAATCCAGCATCGGTTGGTTTCAATTGACAGTGTCTGGACTTTCTACCAGTCATTGTTTTCTCTATGTGCAACTGCAATTGATTTCATAAATGCATCTTGTAGAAAAAAATGTAAATGACAGCAGCTGTATTGGGAACTCAGCTGTATTAAACTGCATGATATGTGAGCACAGAGAGCAGGAGAGAAGCAAAGTGTAGGTTGTCTATTCTGAATGTCCCTCAGCTTTACAATTCCCACAGAGCTCTGACCTGTGGGCATACGATTAAAGCCAATGGTAATGTTAGCCACATTAGCTCCACAATATGCTAGGATTTTCCAATTGTTGTGGTGACTTTAATAATCGCAGTAATCCACTGGATGTTCAGTTGCTCAGATGCTGGGAGTGCATGAAGCCTCTCGTGTTCACTCTGGCAGCCAACAGCAGAACACTTGCTGTGCTGCTTTGAGACATTTTACAATTGGCAGAAGTAGATTTAGAAAGTAAATAAACCTTTTGGACTGTGAGGCAGGATTATACAAAGTGAGCGCTAGATGACTATTGGTTGGAACGTAGCAGCTCAATAACATTCTTCCTGACTTGTAAAGCTGGGAGGTTATCCAGTTGTGGGGGGGCTTGAGGAATGGCAGAAGTAAACATCCTCGTATCTTAACAGCTTTTACTTTACACTTCTAAGTTGATAACGGCCACAAAATACAATAAAAAGATTTTTTCACCGTATGGAACCTCAACAAAACTTTTCCCCATTGGTTTTCTTAATTTGGTCAATCAACTGGTGCCAGAAAAACACGTAAAAAACATGCTCAGAGAAACTGTAAAGAGCCACTGCCAATTGTGACGTTGCTGTCCTTAACCAGACACTTGTAGTTATCAGCCAGTGGGCCATCTTCACCATCAGGAACCTGCTAGAACACAACACGCAGAACCAGCAGCTGGTCGCCAACCTGGAACGTCGCGGCACCGCCGACTACTCTGCGCTCAGGGAGTTGGGTTTCTTGGTGGAGGAGCGAGACGGAAGCTTGCTGCTCAAACCTGTCAGGAAAGACTCCTAAAAACACTGGAGGAGCAGCAGCGAGGAGAACGAAGCTTTTCAAGAAAACAGGTTCTCACGCAAAGCAGTTAAGAAAGGGGGAAAGAAAGTACACGTTCACACGTATACTCTTGTGTGAACGTGTACGCTTTTTGTGTTGCAAGCCTCATTAATCAGCTTCTTCTACGGGTTTACAACCTGTTCATCACCCAACTACCGTAACTTCCGTGCCTGTCCAGAATAACTGACAGCCACACTGCCGATAGAGAAAGCAAAAAAAAAAAGGCGCTTTTGAATTAGATGTTCCTATCAGAGAAGTATATATAACTTACTTTTCTACCTCAGTAATGCTAACACTTGTGCCCAGCTTGGGCACAAGGTATTATTGGTCCACAAAAGGCCCATGGGGTCCTCACTGGTAAAGAAGGTCAGGATGTCAGCAGCTCCTGCTTTGTCTTGACCTGAGTCTGGGAAATGAAGAGTTTGTGAGAGGCGAGCACATGCTGGTACCTTTTGGCAACGCCGATGCTTTGTGGTTTAATCCAAAGACAAAGAGCGCCGCAGTGTTCGGGCTTTTCGCTTTTCAGAGACAGTGATGTTACCAGCAGGAGTTGGAGTTTAATCCCAGGCCCATAGTGGCTTCTGCAGTAACCATGAAACAGAGAATGACCAAAACATGATGTACTCTACCCCCTCCCCGCCTTACCTAATTAAACGGTCGCATCCTAGGCCACCGTATTATTCAAACGCTTCAAATAGTTGCTTATCTAAACAGACGTATAGTTATTAATACTTCAATCTAAGGGCGTCCAAGTGCAGAACGCAATAACAAACGAAATATTCGACTCTATGCATGTTTTGTCATTTAAAAACAAGGCTCAGCGTGCACTACGAGCATGTTTCTCCGCTTGCTTTTGCAATAACAGTCATGAGTCTTGTGAATTTCATCTTCTCTTTCTAACCTGTTGATAACCAAGAGGGCTTAAGGCATGCAGCATAAACCACTAACCATCCTAATATTAGTAAGATTAATATTTGTGTTTTACGTTTTTTTGCTCTGAATAAGTTATATTTGACTTTCTTAGATATTTAATAAAATACCGTACTTCCGATTTAGCTGTAGCCGTGTGTTTGTGCGCTTCTTCTTTTCGGTAAACAGCGGATGAGAGCATACTGAAGAGTGTGCATCCGCCGAGTGAATGAGTGAATGAATGAACGAGTGAGTGAGTGAGGGAATCAGACCAGAAGCATTAGTTTGCAGAATGACATCCCTCCCTGCTCCTCCCGCTGCTGGATAAGCTGAACGGTCCTGACAAGCCAACAATGCAGCGCTTTACGGGCCTGCCCACACCCTGCTCCACCCTGTTTGCTCTGCCTCTGATTTTTAATGACAAAATGTATTGAAACAATTGGCTGGACTCTCCCCTCAATCCGCCAGCATAGTGAAGGGAGCTTATGCGGTTCCGGTCCCCAGGATTTCAGACAGCTAACAAAACAGCTGTTACTCGCGCTCGACTGGCTGGCTGCAATGCTTTTCAGCCCCACAGGAAAGAGGCTGTGCAAGTCAGCCGGGCTGAATGAGGTGGCATGGCCGCGGCCGTGCGTTCACCTCCTCACACATCAGCGCCACATCGGTCGAGGGCCAAAACTTCTTGTTTCCCATATCAGCATTTTACGCTGCAGGCCTCTACTGTAATGCGGTTTGATATCGACCTTCAGCAAAATCCACCAAAACCCACCTTGTTAAGAGTTTAAGCTACATGTTTGGTTCTGGTAATGAGTTTCTTTAATGACTAATAAAGTATTGTGTGTGTGTGTGTGACAAACAACTCTTTTTTTTTTATTGTTTGAACAAAAGTCCAAAATGCGACATAAAACTCAAGAGGCGTTAAAAGGATGCTCAAATTTTATTGATAAAAAAAGGAGAGAAAAAAAAATACAAATGTCCATGTTTGTAAGTGATGCAGACTTTGATCTTTTGCCACAAAACAAATAAAGAAACTTAAATTAAGCTGTATTTTAAGTTATAGCTTTTAGGAAACAGTGTGTTGCCTCTAGTTAACTAAAAGCGCTATTAAGACAACTGGAAACACAGAAATCTCCCTCAATCTAAAGCCCTTCGTTCGTTTGCCTCCGATGTATTATCCGTTTAGCAACTTCCATGTGTTTGCTCCAATACTTCATAGATTTCTCAACTTTCCTGAACTGCTTTGGATTGTGAAGGATCGAATGACGGCGGACAAATCTGAGCTACTTTCGCTAAAACACGTGGCGTATTTACAGTTCTTTTTTTTTTGTTTGTTTGTTTTTTTTCTGACATAAATTCCAAATAATTTATAGCTCTCAAATCTGAATACACTGACGTTAGAAAACACTTGTAAATAGTGACTCTCTTCTCCATCTATAAATGACATAAAGTGCCACGTTCCTCATATAAAAATATACTCTTCAAATTGTTTTGTAAGTTATATAAAGCCTAAATAAACATTTCTGAATACATTAAGGGTGCTGTCCAAAAATAGCTTTGAGGCCTTTGATCCTCTCATACCCCCTTCTGTGTGGTTAGGGCACATGCCATCCACCCAGGCAGGCCTAAACCGCGCTGGAAGGCCTTGTGTAAGCAGAGGCCATGATGTGGAATTCCACGTCTCTGCCGCTCATGGGAATGTTGGATGCATCTGAACCTGATTGCACCTCTATAGAGTTCCAATGAGGCTTACACGGTTTTCTCAGAAGTCAAGAGCCCTCCGAAAACAAAACAATGAACGCAGTCAGGATGAAGTGCCGTTCAAACTGACAAGTCGGGTGCTTAAAATACTACATGTGTGTGTTTTCTGCCTCTTTGGTTCTTGGCGTAACAAAAGGCTCTGCTGGGCCTCCATGTCCATGAGAGAAGATGTGTCAGAACAGCACCAACCCCTCCACCCGCCCCTTCCCTCCCAAAACAACTGGTGAAATAAAATAAGAAAAACGTGACCGTGTGAGTGCAAAAGAAAATAATTAATCTATAGCATATGGCACTGATAACTGGTAATGGATTTAAATCAGCAACAAAGCAGAGTATTTGGCTGTTCAGTGGCTGTAAATGTGACTAGAAATAAACTTTACCTCCCGCTTTTTAAATGTATCAGTAGCAATTGAAGATTATAAAAGCGAGGAAAAAAAAAACAAAAACGTTAGAGCGGTTGAATTTGCTATCCATCCTATAAGGCTTTAAAGTTTGAAAGATATTTTTTTTTACATAAATAATTTCGTTTTATTTTCAGTGTTCAAACAGAATACAGTGTGAGTGTACAGTTATTCCGCTGCCGTCTTTCGGGCCTCACTGAGCGCCCGTCTCGTATTTCGTGGCAGTCCAAAGCGCGTCGCTCCTGTAGCGTTTCCAGTTAGCGTGTTAAGGAAGTTTTCTCCAACGATAGTCCTTTTTCCTCTTGTGCGGAACATCTGTAAGATACTTCGTCGTCTTCGTAATATTGCCTTGCTGGAAAACATCAATTCCTTTCACCTGCTACTTCTTTGTCACTTCCGCAAGCAAATACGTGTCTTCAATGTTCATGTCTGTTTGCTCCCAATGTTCTCCCAACCTCATATTCCACTTCTCTCTTTAAAGAATTCCAAATAGGATGTCAAAATGTGCAAAATGTAATAAATACCTCCGAGTCCGTCGCTTCAGATTCCACTTTGTCATGTCCCCTCACCTTCGTCCCTTGTCCCATCCTACCCCAGTGCCCCGTCTCTTTGTCCCTACTTGCAAGTGAACACTTCTGATTTCTCGCTGCACGTGTTGCACTTGACGAAGCAGCACCAGTGGAACTTGCAGTTGCACTGCCAGACCCGTGTGTAGTGGTGCGTGTTGTAGCCCCGGCCGCAGCACATCACGTTGCAGCCGTCCGTGTGGCTCGAGGTACCGTTGCACAGCCGGCCTCTTGTCCCTGTGCTCCCCGTGGCCGTGTCCTCTTCGCAGTAGTTGGGAGAGCGCTCCAGGTACACCAGGTCCGTGTCCGTGGGCTTCTGGTAGCCCCGAGCCTCTTTGAGACGTAGGAAGGAGGGTTGGCGGAGCCGCGACGCCCTCACCGGCTCTACTTGAACCGCTTCGCTGTAGCGTTCCTTCAGCAGGTAACCGATCTCTCTGAACTTGGGCAGCGTGATCCAGCAGGTCTTAGTGGTGCAGGAACCAGAGACGCCGTGACACTTGCACTCCAGCTTCATTCGCTCCTCCAGAATCTGTTCACATAGAGAGTTGAGGTTAGCTCTGTGCAAATTAAAAAGGACAGTTCAGGGTTTCAAACATAAATTCACAGGCCAATTTGTTTGGTACGCTTGTGTAGCTGCTTGTCACATGGCATCAACTCAACACATTCAGACAGGTAGACATGGTCAAGACGGCCTGCTGAAGTTCAAACCGAGCATCAGAATGGGGATGAAAGTGGATTTAAGTGACTTTGAACGTGGCATGGCTGTGCAACAAGACTGACAGTGACGTGTTTAAACAGTAACATCTCTTGAAACCTCCATCTTTTAATCCAATAATGCAGCAAACTTTTAACTTCACCGGTGGAGCAGCTGGTCGAAACAGTTTTTAAAAAAAATCATTTTCCGTTGACTTGAAGGCCTAAGTGTGGATTTTTAAGACATAATGCAGCACCTCTAAAGCAACGGCGATCCATTGTGGATGGCAAAACCAACCGTGAAACTCCATCATCGCATCTACCAAGCATTTAGGCTAAAATAACATCTGCGGTGTTCCTGCAAGCCAGCTGGTACCACTTCTGCTGGACTGGAGGAAGCTAATGCTAGCAGCTAGTTAGTCCTCTAAGCGAGCAGCCATCCATTGGTTCATCTGAATGTCAACATAAAGGCATGGTTGTTGGTTCCAGGTGGGCTGGTATGACTGTTAGTTTCCTGTTGGTGCTAGAGGTCAGAGAGGAATGGCCAGATTGGTTGGCGATGATAGAAAGGCAACAGTAACTCAAATAACTTCTTAAAGCCAAGGCATGCAGAAGACCATAATGTATTCAGACGACCATCCCTGAATGCACGACGTGACGCACCTTGAACCAAATGGACTACAGCAGCAGAAGACAATCCTGTTGGCTAAAAACAGGAAACTGAGGCTACAGTTCACACGGGCTCACCAAAATGGAAAAACGTTGCCTGGTCTGATGAGTCTCAAATTCTGCTGATGGTAGGGTCAGGATTTGGCATAAACAACATGAAGGCATGGATCCATCCTTGTATCAACTGTTCCGGCTGGTGGTGGTGATGTAATGATTTGGGGGATATTTTCTTGGCCCACTTTGGCCCCTTAGTACCAATTAAGCATCATTAAAACACCACAGTCTACCTGAGTGTTGCTGCTGACCATGTCTTTCTTTAAGATCACAGTGGACCCATTTTCTGTTGGGTACTCCCAGCAGGAAAACGTGCCATGTCACAAAGCTGGAATTATTTCAAACTGGTTTCTTGAACATGACAATCACCAGATCTCAGTCCAATAGAGCACCTTTGGGATGTGGTTGAACGGAAAATTTGGATCATGGATGTGCAGCCGACATATCTGCTGCAACTGCGTGATGCTATCGTGTCGATATGGACCAAAATCTCAGAGGAATGTTTCCAGCACCTTGTCGAATCTATAGCATGAAGAATTAATGCAGTTCTGATGGAGGGTCCAACCTGGTACTAGCAAGGTGTAGCTAACGAAGAGGCCGGTGAGTTCCTCGTGTAGGATAAACGCATAAATGGTCGTTTTAAATTTGAAACGGCTAATAACAATCGCACAGTCTTCGAGTCTGTCTCCTTTGGTAAGCTGGGCTTTCTGTGGGCACTTCAACTTTCAGCACAGCAGCCAGGATGCCAACTTTATGTCAGAAATATGGGGAAAATAACTCATAAACCCAAGCTGTAGTCTCTAATTAACTTTACCTTTCTTCAGACCACAGAATGGCGTGACAGCCCGAGAAAACTGACCAGAGCTGTTGTGCAACCGAACACGTGTAGAATTACATTGTGGTTTGCGCAGCCAGATTTATAATATAATGCCATATAAATATTTTCAGATGACAGGATTGACAGGTGACTGTTTGCCCCTGTGACCACATTTTATTTCAGTGTGAAGAAAGAAAAAAAAAAAAAAAAACAACAACCGTGCCCCCTTTTCATTATGATTTTTGGCGCATTGACGCTCATAATTGCAACTTGTTTGTCCACAGTCAAATCAGCAACTCTGTCTTTCCCCTCGTGGTTATCACATTTTTTGGATCTGGTTGGTTCAGTGTGTGCGGTGGTGCAGAAGTGTGGTCTTTGGTGCTGCCACTGAGAAAGGAAGAGAGAGAGACTTGCAATAATATCCTCTATTCTCACTTAATGCTTAGCAATTCGGTGAATGGACAGTAGGGATGTGGCTCCACTCCATTTGGCAGCGGTATCTGCCAAGTGTTGCATTTTATTTGACACATTCACACTCTCGCATGTGTGTTCATGCGTGCAGGTACACTTGCTTTAAAGCCGCCCTGTTTCATTCACTTTGCTTCAGTTTGTCGGCAGCATTAGCGTTAGTAAAGCTCTGTTTGGTCACATTGATTTTTTTTTTACCTTCCGCCCTGCCTCATTGTTGTGCAGGTTCATGAGTCTCCGGGCGTTTTTCTTGATCTCGCGGGCGTCAACGAAGCGCCGCGAAAACTCGACGCCGTACTTGACGTCGGCCGAGCAGCCTCCCCATTTCCAGCCCTCCTCCTGGTCGTGGTAGCCCTGCTTCTCGCGGTCGCAGCCGCACTGGCTCAGGTTGCCTTGGCTGCAGGCTGCCGTCACTGCATGGGCGACTCCAGCTGCGGTGATGGCGTAGGTGAATGCTGCTTCCCTGCTGCCTGAAGGGAAATAAAGGAGGAGAATAGGTGTAAAATTGAGTTAAAATACAAAGAAGAGCAAAGGACAGAGAGTTTTCTAAATGCATCTCATTTAACTTTCTAGTTTGTTGATGACTTCTTTTGATGTGGCATTACACTTTGTTCCTTGAAACTGGCATTTTGATTCAGATGAAGTGCAAAAATTAGGGTTCACTCGTTTCATATTGTGCATCTGGTATTTAAATTTTTCTACTGTAACTCAATCGCTGTGACTTAAACGACACATTTAATGACATAAGTGAAAGCTGCTTCAGGATAATCAGTTTAAATGTGAGTTAAAATACAAAATAGTGAAAAGTAACTTACACTGTAAAAAAGTTTATTAGCGCTGCAGTTCAATGAAAGTGCTTTTCTGAATGAATCTCAGTTGGCTTTCTAATTTGGTGATAACTTCTTTTAACTTACACTTTATTCATTTGACCTGGCAACTGAATTTAGATAAAAGTGCAACAACTGGGTTCACGCCTTTTGCATTACATTTTACATTTGGGTAAAGCAAAAACTTTAGTTGAAAAAACTTCAAGTAGACTTTCCTCAACATTAAGTTGCAGCAACACAAGATGTTCATTTAAAAGCATTACAATGATTAAAGTGCATCTAACTTAAACCAGTGACTTTAATTTTACTTGTAAACCTAATTTGGATAAACCCATCCCAATTGTGCGTTGCCAACTGAAGCAATTCATCTACGTTGGTCCAACAACTCTCTTAAGTTGAGTGTAAGTCAAGTACTGGAGTACTGTTAGCTAGTAGCAGAAATGCACGACAGCGGCATCATCATCACCCAATAAAAGCTTTAAAATGAAGTATCAGCATTGACCTAAAATCAACATTAACTGGAAGGTAACACCCATCAGGCTGAAAGTTTACAGATTTGTTCATTTACATTTAAGTTGAAGCTGTTTTCTTGCCCAGTTAATGGGTACTTCTTGTATAGAGAGTGAATAAGAGTGATAATTTACTAATTTCACTACAGAAAAAACCTGATGTTCTCTGTGATTAGCTGGAAAATACTGTACCAGTCAAAATGAGATGGAAAGCATTGGCTAAGTCCAATACTGGGTAGCTTTGCCTTGTATTTTTACTTTTTAGGAGTCTTTTGATACTCAGAAAGCTATAAACTGTCATCGTTGTGTAGCTACACTGTTAAAAAACAAGATTTTGGTTTGTTTTCATCGTCTTCTCAACCTGATGTTGTTTCAGTTTGTACAGAAGGCCAATGTTTTTAGCAGAAAGCCTGCGTTACGATCTGGGAATGTGAAGTTTGAAAGAAGTCGGAGTTTTACAAGTCTGGAGGTCAAATGACAGACATGACTCAATTACATTGAAGGAAATATAGAATCCAGCATTTCTGCACTTTGAGCAATGTTAGAGACTAAAACCTGGGAGTTTTTTTTTAGCTTCTGCTGCTTTGATTTGGACTCTTGTTCTCCCTAAAGGCTCGACCCGGATTTGACTAAATCCAGATAATTAGCCCTCTGGTCAGGTACACGTCGCATGAGCCGCTAAGAACAACGAAAGTGTAATTTCTGAAACCCAAACAAGTGCAACTAAACAAAAATCTGGACACGCCCACACAGTTCTCAGGCGAGGTGTAATGAGAGGAAATAAGCGAAAACTCCAGTGTGGGTGGACAGCAGATGTGCGGGACCTTTTAGAGTATCCCAGTAACCGAACGGTTAAGGTGCACGGCCGCAACATTCACAGTTTCCGGACCTTTGTTGCATTTCGTGACATTTTCTCTCTCCTCTTGTTTCCAGCTTTCCAGTAGAGGCAGAAAACTTCTCGTGTGAGTCCACCAACCAACTGAGGCGCTAAGCTGCTGGAATAGTGTTTTAAGGAAAAAAAAATAGGCACAACTTTGGAGTTTTGCACTAAGTTTGGAAGGAACTGCTTGGTAGAGAATCACAGTAGCTGTAATTAACCTTCATAAAAGAACTTCAGTAGGAGATACTATAGAACTGAGGCAGGTTAAAGGTCCGTTTATCCAAAGTTTAAGTATAAAGACAGTTGCTTAGAGCATCTGCATGGTCTCGTAATTTAGTTTCGCACTCCGTCACTGACCTCCACCTGTAGTCTGCGGCTTATCAACTACTAATCTGCATAGTGAAGACAACACAAGTGACATCTACTGGCTGACTGGAGGAGATTTTTTTTGGTGTGCTGCGTCTTAATGTTTTTCATCAATGGAATTTCTCACGCAGCTTAAGTGTCGTTCTGTGTCTGTCTTAGGCGGTCCGCATTATTATAGCAAATGATACTGCTGTGTTGAAATAATCTGTGGCCGGGCCTGACTGAGATGTACCCATTTCCAAGCTTTTGTACAGTATGTCACCGTTTGAACTTCAGAATAAACACATTTATATTTATGGGGTGGAGGGGGGAAATGAATTTATTGGCACTCCGGCTGGTAATAGGATATCCTCCCTCTCCAATCAGGATAAGGCTGCGCCTTCGTTCTTCTCAACAGCCCAGAGTATTAATGCGTGGCGTCTCTGGTAGAGGCAATTCTAATGGCTTCCTTCCAAGCTGACAAACTCACTCGCAGAAACCATCAGGCCTGCGGTTCCCCTGGTCCATAACTCAAAACAAACTCTGAAGTCTTCTCTCATCAGGCTAAATCTGCGACCCATTCAGATATATTGTATGGTGAGCATTTCTCAAGGCATCAGGCGCATGCAATAGCCAAACAGCCATCTCTTCGCGCTGTGATTTGTTTTGATTGTACAGCAGTGCATGCAGGGTTCCATTGTTGCCATCCAGCTGCTGGAGCTGACTTCAATTAGTGGTTTGCATGAATCTCTCTGGTCTTTCTCAATGCTTAATGAGTTCACAGGCCCAGCAGGTCAATCAAATAAAGTGGTGGATGGTACATTAGCCACACAAGTGGGGGTACGGCCTTGGCTCGCGTTTAAATTGTTAAAAATAGCAAAAACTGACAAGAATTGGACGAGGAGAGTGGCTCGTTTTACGACGAATCTGTCAAGACGCCTGGGCACGTTTTACGCAGACACTTACAACCCTCTAATTAGTTTTTATACACGTCTAATGACATTTTGTCTCACAGAAAGCTCGTATTTGTTCCTGGTAGAGAGGACATGAGGAACAGTTTGGTCCAAAGTGTCTCTCTGAGCTCTTTTACGCACCACAAGAGAAAAGAGACATTTCCTCTGACAAAAGAAATAAAGGGATCCAGACGTCTTGTCTGCCTGTCTCCCGTGTAGAAGAAAGTGATTGCTCCCAGAGCTGCTAGATTAAACATGGATCCAAACCCACAGCAAGACCGCAACAAAACATCTCGAACTGAAATACAATTTATATAAGAGGTTCACATTAGGAGCAAACAGGCTTCTGTGAGAAATAAAAACTGGGAAGAATGTTTACTAAAACCAGGGAGAAAGTGTTCGGTTCTGTGTTTACAGATGGGGCAGGTATGATGTAAATGCTCGGAAGATTGCACACTCGGATAGACTTAACAGGCCGTGCTGCATGAACGCGAATTCTCCCAGTTTTTTGCGACAGAGTGTTGCAAAAACAGTGACGTCGCGCACATCCACTGCAGATTGAATCTCCTTTGGGGACGCTGGGGAGTTGGAATTTTTCTCAACAAGGCAGAGAATTCGTTGTGGTTGTTGCATGTGGAGCTCCAAACACAAATTCTTTCATTAAAGTTTCACCAACCCCCCTCGAAGTCAGTTTCGTGCCTCTTAGTTGGGCCGAGCTTCAGTTTTTTTGCTTTTTTTTTTACTGACGGCAGAAGAAGAATGAGAAGATGTCAGAGCAACATGCAGAGCTGCAGTTATTTCAACTTTTAAAGCTCAGTTTGGTTCCGACATTCCACCTGTTGACACACATCAGTCTCTACTTCAGCCTCAAGTCTAAGATTTCCACTTGTTGGATCTAATTTTGTTTGATTCGACTGTTGGGGTCGACTTTTTATCTTGCAAAGGCAAAACACAGGCACCACGAACCACAACATCCCCAGTTTGAGCCCAGCTGAGGACCTTTCTTGCATGTTATTCCCCTTATCGCAAACAAATGCCCAAAAAAACAATTTTCCCCAGAAGAACCTGCTTTAAAACCTCATCCTTGAAGCCCCCTTTCTCCCCGTCTCCTTGTTGATGTCATGCCTACATCGAGGTACAAACTGTTTCGAACTCTTTTCAAGCAGACTGACCTACTCTCAGCTCTTGTCCAAAGACAGTCCTCTCCCCAAGGGCCGAGCAGTTCCAGCGGCCGTAGCGGAACTGGTACTGACACTCGTTGATGCCCAGCTGGGCGCCTTCGCCGATGACGATGATGGCGTCGGGGCGGCTCTGACAGAGGGCTCTCTGACGGGGGGCCAATCCCGGGATCTTGTTGCAGATGATGTTCGCACCCAGAGCTACCACAGAGGACAACGCCCTAGGCAGAAAGAGATGGGGATTAATTAGAGGAATGACCCAAACTGATAGATCCAGATCAAGAAAATATAGAAATCAGAAGGAGGCTTTCAATTCTGTTCCTTTTTGAACCACACTTGAGCAAAAAGAACCCAGATTTGTCCATTTTCCCCAAAAACCAATAACATATTGGAGGTCTACAAAAGGCAACATGAGGGAGAACAATAGTTAATTATAGAAATGGCTTCAAGTCCAGCTCGTTTCTGTCTCAAAACATGAACCACTGCAGCTATTTTAGGTTTCAGGACCTGCCCTTGTTATGAATAAGAGGCATGTATGGTGCAGCAATCATTCTCTTTGTGAGGGTCTTTTAATGCCATAAGAAAGAGCTCATTACACAGGCCTGCGCCTATAGGCAGAGTACCAAGCAGCCCAATATTACTCTTTTCCATATGCTTTCCATGTCTGACGAGGTGCTCCTATGACAAAGTGGTTCTGGTGTAATGTGTAAATCCATAAGAGCAGGTTATCTCATCAGCTGCACACGTACTAGAACAAAAAATCACCTACATTAAATATTGGCTTCATTCAGTCTATATAAATAGTCGTTTTATGACTCAATATTTGAATGAAACTGCTCGTATGTTGGAGGGGGGAAAAAAATCCGCAGCTCTTGTTCCATGGCAGTCTGTGGAATAAATTGATTGAACGACACAAGTCACGCATTTCCTACCCATGTTTCCAAAAAATTTGAGTCGGATGGATGTTCCAAGTTACATTTTTTCCAACGTAAATCTCTCTGCCACACCAAAACAAAACGCAACCGCAACAGAAACGGTTTCAAGCTGACGTTTTGAATAGTAAAAATGTTCAGCGTTATGCTTTTGTTGTAAGAAATTAATTGTACATATCATGATCTTTACGCGCGGTTCGGTTTTCTGGTGCGTAATTTGGCCAAATTACGCACAAGGTACCGCTACCTGCTGGTGCAAATAAAACCAGGCGGAATTAAAATTGAGCAAGTGCATTCATAAGAAACCTACAGGTAGCTACCGCTGGTGAGGATGAGGAAGATCTGTGGGTAGTAGACGGACAGCAGCGCACTGCGAGAAGAGATGATAAGCATGGTTGCGCATTGAACACAACTTGATTTGCGCTCTTGGTTTTAACAAAAAAAAAAAAGGTGGTGGTAAAAAAAAAAAAAAAAAACAGAAGTGGGAACAAATATATCCTTTTATCTCGAGTCCAAAGCGAGCAGAGGTGTCTCCTTCTTGCTGCTGGGAGGTGGTTTTCTTTAGCTAACGGAGCGCTCTGCGGCGGCTCCAAGCTCCGCTGTCCATGTGTTGGAGATGAGAGGCTGCATCTCTCGGCCGATGTGCGCTCTGCCACCTGGACTGAAAGAGGACTAGGTGGGAGAAAAAAAAAAGAGAAAGAGAGAGAAGAGAGGAAGGGTGGGGGCAGATGGGGTTCCGGATATCCGATGCGTCCGGCTCACGTCTCCAAAAGTGAGACTGTTGTGGCATTGGAAGGGAGGGAGACAGTGGCCTCTCCCGGTGCACCAGCCCCCGGGATGAATCTGCACAGCCCCGCATCCCCTCTGTATCCCCTCCCCCTGCACACCTCCTGCCCCCCCACATGTTTCTCTCTCCTTCTCAGCCACTCTTGCATTCAGTTCTGTGGTGACGGATTCTGAAATAGATCATTTTCTGAAGCAGCACAGATGTGAGGTCAAACCTGCCCCCCGTGCAAAGTAAAACTCAAATTATAACAATGAAAATGTCAACTTTTCTCATTATTTTGTGCTGCCAATCCTTCTATCTGAATATAAAAACGTCAGTGGCACCAAATAACTACACATTTAAGATGTTTTTGCACCATTTTAGTGATTTTTAGGCTTTTATTTCAGCTTCTCAAATGCGAGCATTTCCTACTTTTTCGTCTTTTTATGGCAGTAAACTAACTTCATTTTGAAGAAAACGTCACTGGCTTGAAATTTAATTGGTATTTGATTAAGGAATCCATCAGTTAAGCCAGACCCTTAGCACTAAACACATTGTTGATGATCATCAGTTGCACTCCTAAGGATCACTGCTGGACTTTCAGTTTCCTTCTCAGTGGCTCTACAGCGGAGCAGATTCTTGCTGACATGCCTCAGATGTTCAGTTTATCAGACTCTGTGGATCTCCAGCTGAAATATTCTCTGCTGGTGTGTCCCCATAAAAACGCCCTCATGTGGTGGCATGAAGGAAAAGTTTTGGAGCACATGAGGAGATGTAGTACTATCTTCAATGTTTTGTGTGTTTTTTTAAGAACAAGGAAGAATTGTTCTAAGAATTTGAAAAGATGGTTTCAAGAGGATCTTTTTTCTTGTGCAGAAGCAGGAAAAGTTGTTTTTTTGGTTAATTATGATGGATTAGATGTCGCTTTTTCCGCAGTATCTTGTTAAATCATGTTGCCCTTGAGGTGCCGAGGAAGGACGAGGGCTCATGTTGCGACAAAAAAACGAGTAAATTTTGCTTTAAGAGATGCTTCACAGCAAACGGAGCCCCATTCAGACATAGTTCACAATGGACAGAAGATAAAGTTCATATTTTCTTGACTTGCCGTCTTGAAACCGAGCCCTTCCAAGATTGACTTGACCTGAACAAATAACCGCAATGAGATAATATTGATAAAGTTTGTTCCAGAGCGAGGTATCGATCATCCGAACAAAAAGCAAAGCCCATTCTCTGAGAAAAATGACTGAGGGCAGCGCTGTGGAAGTGAACCTCTTCATTTAAATTTCCGACAAAGCGTTGTGAGAGATAGCAGAGTTTGGGCGTAGGAAAGAATACCTTCCATTCTTGGGTTGTTATAAGATTGGCCAGATGCTTCGTGCCCGCTCAGGCTGCGTGTAACTGAAGCTGCACTCAGATATGCACGGCGCTGTCAAGTATGAGAAGCAGCTTTTTCCACCAAAACTGAACCATCGCAGGACCTCAATCTGCATTTCAGCGGACAACACGCAGATGATGTCTCTGGCTCGAGGATAATCGAGGCAGAACCCTTTTGTGTGTCTCTTTTTTTTTTTTTTTTTACTTTCTCACTCCCTTTCCCCCTCTCTCTTTCTGTCCAAATAATCCTCCTAAACCACAATTTCCAAAGCCAAGATAGCACTTAAGGCAGCGTGCACTCACTGTCCTGGCTCTCGCGTTGCCATATCTGTTTCTTTTCATATTCTTGCGTAGAGGTGAACAGGGAGACACGGGACGGAAGGAATTCTTACGCTGCCGAGGAAAAACATGGGATCAGTGATGTCAGCGGCTGTAAGACTAACATCAGGTTTTTTTTTGTTGTTGCTTTTATTTATATCACGACAGCTGGCAGAGTTTTGACGGGAACAGATTTGATGGCATCATCCGCGGCGGGATGATGAATTGCAGGTCTGGAGACAGGAAGGGAGAAACTGGAGCAGTCACGTAAAGAGGGCTCACGCTGGGAACAGGCCTAAAAAGTCCAGATTAATAATGCTCCCTGTGGGATTCTGGGTCTATCTTGTCCTTGAGCCCAGAATCGAAGCTGTCAGAGAGGCGGCATTGTTGAACATAATAGTAAACATGTGATAATTCATCATAAGTGACATTTTATTAACAACAGCACGACTGTCGGATGTAGACACGACACACGGATGGCAAAAGTGTTAACCCCCTGAACCCCAGAACACGCTGGTGGGCTTGAAAGATATGTTTGTGTGTTTTTTAAATTGCCAAAATGACACCATTTATCAAAACTTTCAGACAGTTCTGACCTTAAATGTATCATATGTGACATAATATTTAACCGCTTAAGACCTGAGCTCTTGCTTGATATGAATTTTTTATTCCTTTTGATGAGTGAATAAAAAATAAAAAAATCTAAATAAAATAAAATATATAGAAAAATTTAAAAATTAAAATAAAAAATAAATAGGAATAATAAAATGAAATGAATTAAAAAATAAAATTTAAAAAATAAATAACAATAATAAAATTAAATTTAAAAAAATACAATAAAAAAATAAATAACACTAATAACATAAAATTTTAAAAATAAACAATGATAAAAAAAAATAATAATAATATCACTACTGTGGTAGTATAACCCAAAATGTGTCTTAAGATTGTTAAAATACAGATTTTTAAAAAACAATAATATTTATTTATTTATTTTTATTTAAAAATGCACCAAAAATAAACTATCTGCAGTAACCAGATCCTGTAAAATGCAAAATATTCTGTTTCATTCAGCCATTAGCGACTCCACTACGACAAACGGCCAAAAATTCAGAAACTTTTCGACTGAACTGCAGGCAGTGTTTTACGCAGAGCAGACGGGAGACATGTATGGGAACAAATTAAATATGTAAATAGCTGCATAGCTGTAACATGTCACCATTCCTCCCCCCAGTATTAGGAACACATGTAGGCTCTTGGAAATACGTTGCACATGTTGATTCCATTTTTTTTCCTTCTATATAGAATAAATGATCAAAGAAATTCTATTTTTTCTAGTGTTATGATTTATGACATTATAACCATGTTCTGCTGCACAGAGGACATTTTTGAGTTCTCTCTGTTTCTTGTCATGGTTGTGATGCTTCTATAGAGATGCAGGACTTTATGTTACAAAGAAAAATGAGCCCACAGAGAGAGAAAATGTGACCAACACCTTGCGACGATTCAAAAAGGTTTACAGGAGGCTAATTACAAAAGCTGAGACTTCTTAGCAGTCATGTAAAGTCACAGTACAGTCTAACGAATCCCTTCCACTTCTTTCGGAGGCCTCTTTTGGATGGACGAACTCAAGCCCACACTTCCTGTTTTCGCTGTGATTTCCTGCCAGCTCCGGCAGACTCACAGATCAGAGTTCACCTCTGATCTATCTGAGCGGATCTGCTCAGTCGCCCAAAAAGAAATTGATGCACCGACTTTGGAGATAAAACATCCGTGCATGTTTGACCACCAGTATTATGACACTACAAGCTCTAACGTTGTTCTCATAAACTGATTGAAACACACTGGACGGAAATCTAAATCCAGCACGCGTGGTCTTCTTTTCATACTTAGATTGAAGAAAAAATTTAAAAATCTCATCTCTGGTGTTAAGATTAGAGTTAAATGTAGCCACAAAATAAAGCTTTCGAGCTGACAAAGATCAGATCATTTGACTAGACGCTAAAGGCCTCCTTAAAATGCAGCTTTATTCGTACGAAACAACGCCTCAGGAGACACGCAAAAGATCAGAACAAGCTGTAGGCTGGAGGATGCTGGTACGTCACACTTGAACTTTCACAGCTTTTGTAGCTTCTTAGATGTGAGAATTTGCTGCTTTTCTTTGTGTTCCGTGACAGTAACCTACATTTCTTTTGTCTTGGACCTTCAAGTAAGCTTCACTGGCCTTAAAATAGGTGTTTAGTTAGAGAATTAGTTAATCAAGAATATGATCAGCAAACACTTGGACGTTTACAGCTTATTTAGCCTCTTTAATGTGAGAATTTGCTGCTTTTCTTTGTGTTTTGTGGCAGCAACCTACATTTCTTTTGTCTTGGACCTTCGTGTAAGCTTCACTGGCCTTAAAGTAGGTGTTTAATCAGAGAATTAGTTAATCAAGATGATCATCACCAAACACTTGGATGTTTACAGCTTTTCAAGCCTCTTAAATGTGAGAATTTGCTGCTTTTCTTTGTCTTTTATGGCGACAACATAATTTGTTGTCAAAGAAATAGTTTGTGACATGATGGTCCACTGACCCAACACCACATGTTGACACCAGAATCGTCACATTCAACCCGTCCGTCTGCGGAGTCACTTGAGAGCGACTACAGAGGCTTGTGATGAAGTTCTTGATGTGAGTGATCAGAGAGCGTCTGCTCAGAATGTGAGGGATCGCCTGAGGGAAGCTGGTTGGCGATTTCGCAACAAGGCCTTGATCTGAAGGCAGATCGGCATCGTTATCGGCTCCAGTGGGCAACCGCTCCCTTTGTTGGACACCAGCAAGATGGACGAGGTCGCTTTTTACTGACGGATCTGATGTACGGAGCAGAAAGTAGACGTTTGGTGTTGTTAAAGCTATGGAGAGAGATCCACGGACAAACAACGTCTCTGCATTTCATCGACGACGGTCTCGGTGTCCACAACGCTGACATGATATCCGCTTCATTCACCACCATCACTTGACATTTCAACAATGCTTCCTCGCGCTGCCAGAATATTCTCCATCCGTCTAAAGCAGCAGAAATTCTTCCAGTCCTACCACAGCCTGCATTCTCTCAAGACAAGTAATCCATCAAATATCTGTGGAACGCTCCGGACTGTCGTGTCCAACAGCGTGGTGCCGTTCGCCAAAATGTCCATCAGCTGCACCGAGCCCAAACATTTACTGTCATTTTTTTTCTTCAGATTTTCCCCGTTTT